ATCTTCATTGCTTAATGGTTCACTAATTTCCAGTCAGGATATTTCCTTACATACTTTGACTAAGTCTTCAATATTTTGCCAAGGAAATTTGTGTGTAAAAGGATACTTCCTCATTTCTGACATTTTACAAGTCAGTCTTCACTTTTACTTCCTGTTTGCATAGGGTCTTGAGATCAGCTATAAGTAAATAACTAGGAACCACTCATTTCCCAGTTCTTTGTGGGCATGCAAAGAACCCTATTCATATGTACAGCATTCCAGATATCCATAAACATGTCAGAGATGTGTAACGTACGTATGATCAACTTGTACCTAGATTTTCCTATTAAACTTTTGGTCAGTTTTTAGTTTGTCCTGACTGAAATCAGACTTAGGCAGCTGTGTTGTTAAAAAGTCCAGTAAGCTGTCATTGTTTTTTATTAATGCCTTGGGCTAGGACCTTTTCTGTAGTACTGAGCTCTGAGTCAGATTAAATGGTGACCAATTCCCTGAGATCAGGGATTCTCTAGGGAGCTACAACCTGGTCAAAATACTGACTGTGCTCTGGAAATGGAATTTTTAACAAAATTCCATAATAGATTAGTCTCCTTTGTTAGATATGAACTGCTACTGCTCCAAGGATATAGGCAAAAGGGATGGGAGCAGCCCCAATTTAGCTACAGGCGCCTACTGTTCTTATCAGGTTTAGTAGTTTTCTTGAATAAATACTTCGTTTGTTCTGTGCCTTTGACTGATTTTCAGAGTTTTGAAATGATTGGTGTTGATAGTTTTGTTATTATTTTTATTACTTTTGTTGGGATAGTAGATTCACTGAGGTTGTTACTTCACTGTCCCAGAAGTCTCACATGCTATTTCTTTTTAATATTAACAATCAAAGAGTTTTGTGGTCCCTTCTTTCAGGAGGAAGTTAAACAAAAGATACATGTCTTAACTCATGGGGAAAATCAACAAAAACCTCTTTCTCAATGAAATTATACATTTTACATAATCTAGTGGTATTTTTCAGCATCTTAAATGTAATATCTGTTAGTAAGTCTAGCATAGTTTGTGATAACACTAGGTAGGGTTACATTAATAAACAGAATTTGATTTTTAAAAAGGTACGAAACACTTGCAATTATATTGAGATAATTTAAGTGGCTTGTCCTTTAAAGTGTTAGCGCAAATGATATAAAGTTAGTACTTTACATTAGTAGTTTTCTCAAGGGAATGTCATGACAAATAGAGCAATAGGGTATTCATGACCAAAAAATCACACTATATTTAATATATCTTTGTGAACCAAGAGATACCTATTTTGTTTTTTTCATTGAAGTATACAAATTTGCCTGTTGGAAAAAGTCAACAATATATTTTGGCTAGAAAATTGTAATAATTATTTTAGCTGTTTTGCTTTTATTTGAAGACAAACACTGCATTTCTTATTCTACAGTTGCTTGCATAACTTTTCCATCATGGAGGAAGTTTTGTACAGACCTTCATTTAAGAATTCAAACTTGATAGTTAATGATGATCAGCAGAAAAACTCTTGCATGAAAGTAAGTAGGAAAGTGTGCTATTCCTTCCTCTTTCACTCTCAAATATTCCCAGTTCTATGGAAGCTCTTTTACAAGGTCAGTCCCTTCCACATTAGTGAAAAGAAATTTCTCTCCACACAAACTGCCAAAAATGTGAATGGCTTACGGAATACATGAGACACTTAATAATTTCCAATTTTAGCACATTATTTTGTGCTGAGTCTCAAAAAAGTAAAATAAAGCAGTTAAGATCACAGGCTGTGGAGGACATCAGAGGCAGAGTCAGACACCATTCTGCCATATGATTTTGTGAGAGTTACTTACTGACAATGAGCTCTTGCTCAAGTCACTGTATGACTCTATGACTCACTTCATCTATTACATGGGGAAAATAATACCTCACAAAGTAGTTCTGGATCAATTAGGTAAAGTACATTCAAGATTAAGCAAATTCATCTCATATGTAACCTTCTGAATCACAGGCACCATAGTAGCCTTGCCCTTGGAAGGAGTTTATACGCTTTGAAGTAAATTAACAATTCTGTCCTCTGAACTTTTTATATTGGCTTTCAGTAGAAGGGTTAACAGAAAGAAATATGAGCTAACAGGAAGTTAATATATTGTAGCCTCATACAACTTAGCTTAAGGATAAATGAGCTTTGTTCTCTCATTTTTTCCTAAAGACATTTTTTTGTTTTTTGCTTTTTTATCAAATAGCAAATAATTCTTTTAAGTATTGGCTGTTAGTTATGAATAAAGGTTGAAATCTACATTATGTCCCCATGAAGAGTGTATACTCTTTGAAGATGGATGTTTCTTTTGTATTCTCCAAAGTATTGGTATCTATCAAGCATTGAAATAATATTTTTTGAAATTTAGTCCAATTACATGTTTTGAAAAATAGTACAGGTTGCATATTCCTTATCTGAAATACTTGGGATCAGAAGTATTTCAGATTTTGGAGTTTTTGGATTTGGAAATATTTGCATATACATAATGAGATATTTTGGGGATGGGACCCAAGTCTAAACATGAATTTCATTTATGTTTCATATATTCCATATACACGTAACCAGTAAGTAACATTATATACAATTTTTAATAATTCTGTGTGTGAAACAAAGTTTGTGTTAATTACTTACGTGTGAAAATTTTTTACCTGTGTTATGTTGACACTCAGAATGTTTTGGATTTTGAGATTTTCAGATTAGGGGTGTTCAATCTGTAATTAAAAGTGAAATGCAGCTGAGGAATAGCCCAATGGGACCCAGTATTGCTAGAACTTCACACACCAAGATTTTCTTGTGAAAAATACAAGCTTTCATTCAATTTTGTAAAATCGCCCTGGCTGCTGATTTGTTTTGGCAATGAGAATAAAACAATTCATTAATTTTGTTGTGTCAGATATATATGTGAGACTATGTTGCATATGATCATAATGGAAGAGGTTGGTGCAAAAGATTTTTAAAAGAAAATCATATTAAACATGATCATAAAAAGAGTTACAGTCAAAGATTACTCTGTGCAGGAAAGAAAAGTGGACATAAGTGATTGCACCCAAAACTTATTTTTTGCTTTTATAATATTTATCTCTGTCTCATAATGAGTCTTATAATTTTTAGTCTAAATTCACTGGGTAGCAATTATAAATAAGTCAGGATGGCATTAAGTTCAACAGAACCCTTACCCTGCATATCTACAGTTTGTTCATTTTTAAAATGGCATACCAAAGGCAGAGTATTTACAATAATAATAATAATATAAATGATTAGTGAATTTCCTTTTCAGGAGCAAATTTAAAAATAGTTCTGAAAAAATCATACTTTGAGGACATAATGACCTTTATTCAGTAGCAGGACATTGAATGACCATTCTATTTATTATAGAAAGAAAGCCACTGGACAAAGGAGGGTGTATAAAGAAAGATCATCCTTTGGAGAGGCAGGAAATTGTACTGGCAGTAATTATGGTGACTTCTACTCTGTATATCTGGATTTTTTTTTTTTTTAAAAAGCACTTTACCTCTCTCCATGGAGTAGATTTTTGAAAAGTCATGTAAAGCTTGATGAATGTCAAGTGTTAGGAGCTGACATTTTTCTATTCTGTACTTTGAGTATAGATATTTCAGCATTCAGCAAAATACAACATCCAAGAAATAAGAAAGAAACGGGCAATTTTTCCACAAATGCTACAGAGAGATGCATGTAGGAGTAAGCTCAGTAAAAGCAGTCACACAGGAAAGAAATGGCATTTAGGTAATTTAACTCTTTCTGGAAGAAATTTACAATGTATATAGGTAGAAATGTCACATGTGTATATATGTATGTGTATATCAATGTGTGTGTGCTTGTGCATGTATATACACACAAATATCCATATGTATTCTATTTCATTTGTACAAATGAAATCCATTCAACTTACAAATCAAACAGAGGGCCAGTCTGGTAAGCAATATGGAAAAGTAGGGACAACACTCCACCTTCCTCAATGGGGCAAACCCGAAAGAGATATCTCTGTTCTATACTGGATTAGGAAATAAATGCCAGCTAATATGCTTTAGTCCCTGCTAATTTCCTGGCTCCTCACTGCTGTCTGACAACTGTATCTGCTGCTGTGTTGGCCTCTGAGTCCCACAAGCTTTCCACCTTCGCTAGACTGTCTGCCTGTTTTCAAGGCAGCCTTTTGCCCTGTCCTCTTATTCATATATAACCTTACTCCCTTGCCCACTTGGTTTTCATCTCTGTTGTTCCCATGCATCTGAGTTCCAGCAATTTAATGGTATTGGAGGTCCAATTTTGTGTCTCTATGTCATGATTACATATGTCAGCAAACAATATTTTTTGAACAATCTAGGTCTTACCCACTGAGGTGTAAAAGCTATGAGATTAAAATATTTTGTGTAAATTAAAACATTTTCATTTATTCAATATAGGAAACTGAAATTATATTGAACAATACTAGTGATAATGTATTAACATTTTATGATATACCAAGTATGCTTACGTACTCTATATGCTCTATCTCCTTTCATCTTTATAGAACCACAGCAATTAGATATTATCATAGTTTTCATATAATATGCAGGAAACAAAGGACTGCACAGAGCAAAAACTATTAAATAACAGGGAAGGGATTTCAACTGAGATTGCTCTACTGCCCCAAAGACGTTCTCCATAAAACTTACAGATCTAAAAATCAACTAAAGAGATACCTCAATGGAGGACAAACCTTGTCAGTAACTGTAGGGAAAAAGGTAAAAACATCCAATTATTGACCAAAAGTAGGTTTTGTGAACATGGCTAATAAAATCACACTTTGTTATTAATTATACTGCTTGATCCTTTCTTTTTTAATTAATTAATTAATTAATTTTTACCTTTTTAGAGACAGGGTCACACTGTGTTGCACAGGCTGATCTCAAACTCCTAGGCTCAAGGAATCCTTCTGCCTTGGCCTCCCAAATTGCTAGGATTACAGGCATCAGCCACCATGCCCGGCCTGCTTGATCCTGTCTAAAAATCAATGAGATCAGCAGTTCATTAAATTAATACATACTGAAGGAAGAAAAATCTTCCTTGACTCTTCCCTGTCCTGCGTCATTTACATTCTGTCGAGTACATCCTCCCTTGTCCACTTAATAAACTCCAATTCACTCTTCAAGGAGGTTCCTTTGATCTCCTTTCTCTTCATGCCTGACTCTCAAGTACACACACATGAGCCGAGCTAGGTTCACTGCACTGCGCTCTCACATTTCTATCACTCTGCACTGTGCTCCATATTTCTATCACTTATTGTACTTAACTCCTACCCCACTCTACTATTTGGTGAACTTGAGAGCAAGTATTTTGCTTTTTATGTTGATATCCTCAGTGCCTAGCATACAATAGTAACCATGAATGAATGAATGAGTGAATGAATGAGTGAATGAATGAATGCCTTAAAAGAGGTGCAGCCAGTTAATTAATTGTCAAGTTCAATGAAATAAAAGCCACGCAGGTGGAACGGAGCTTGTGAATTTTCCCTAAAGTGCAAACTTCAAAGCCTAATTTCCCCTTCTTTACCTCCAATTTCAGAGGAACTCCCAAATAAAATTTGTAGCACAAATATCATATAATCAATATAACAGTTTTATTGAGATAATTCACATACCATACAATTCAGTTATTTAAAATGTATACATTATTTTAAATTTATTTATAGTTGTGCAACAAGTAACACAACCTAATTTTAGAATACTTTAATCACCCTAAAAGTAACTGAGCAGTCACTCTCCATTTCCTCTATCTCCTCTTCAGCTCTGGAAAATCAATCATTAATATGCCTCTCTCTATGTAGATATGTGACTTTTGGACATAGCATATAAACTGAATCATAATTTGTGGTCTTTAGTGACTGACTTCTTTCACTCAGCATATTTTCAAAGTTCATCCATGTTATAGTACGTATTAGTAATTTATTTATTTTACTGGCCAAATAATATTCCATTGTAAGTATATGCTACTACTTATTCATTCATTCATTCATGAACATCCAAGTTGTTTTTATTATGAATGATGCTGGTGTGAATACTCGTGTACAAATTTTTGTGTGAAAGTATGTTTTCATTTCTCTTGAGTATATGTCTAGGAGTGGAATGGGTGGGTCATGTGGTAACTCTGTTGAAGTCATTGGGAAATCATTAAACTGTTCCACAGAATCTGTGCCATACTACATTCTCATCATCAATGTCTAAAGGTTCCACATTTTCCATATCTTTGCTAAAACTTGTTTTTATTTGACTTTTTAAAATTTTACCCTTTGTAGTAGGTGTGAATTCGTACCCGTTTCAGTTTAGATTTGCATTTCTGTTTCAGATAATGATTTTGACTATCTTTTCATGTGTTTCTTGGCCATTTTTGTATCTTTTTTGGAGAAGTATCTATTCAGATCATTTTCCCATTTTTAATTATTATTCTGATAATAGCTTTTTATATCTTCTGGGTACAAGTCACTTATCAGATAAATAATTTGTAAATATTTCCCTTCATTCCGTTTTGTCTTTTCATTTTCTTGATGGTAGTCTTTAAATCACAAAAGATCTTAATTTTGATGAAGTCCAATTTACCTATTTTTTTTTTATTTTGGCACTTGTGCTTTGATGTTATTTCCAAGAAGCCTTTTCCTAACTCAAGATTATAAGGATTTACTTCTAAGGGTAAGATTTTCTTCTAAACTTTGATTCAATTTGAGTCAATTTTGTTTATTGTCTTGAGTAGGAGTTCAACTTTATTTTTTCACATGTGGATATTCAATTATTTTGGCACCATTTGTTGAAGAGAACTGAATTTCAGCTACATTGTCCCAGCATCCTAGCACCAATACAATTTTAATAAAGACAGAATATATTTATTAAGTCCAGCAAGATTATTATTGGCTTGAGCAGTGACATCAAGTTTCCAGTTTTAGCCTCCTTTTTTCATTATTACCACTATTACTCCAGAACCTTCAACGTCAGGATGTGAATTGCTTATTGTCAGTAAGTATTTTGGGAATGAAACTGTAACTAAAGAACCAAAAACTTTATTGGCCTTTAATTTTTTTTCTTTGCTATTGAATTCTGAATTCAGGCAGCCTGTCATTTAGTAGCTTGTTAGGTAGTCTGATGCATAAGCGCTTAAGTGTTTGATTCCATAATATGATCTCTATAATTTAGTTCCATTATGTCCACATCAACTGAATGCAGAACGAGTGTGATGAATGACTTCTCAGATATTCCGCTTTAACAGATGGGACTCATTTCCTCACAACCACTTAATCCACACTGACTCGATACAGTTCACATGTTGTTGTTCATGTGCCACAAATGGAACACATCTATTTGCAAAGAGATTTGCCAATAACTGTGAAAAAATATCTTGAACTGTAGTCTAATGTATTAAGTTGTTCTACAATCTTACAAAATATATATATATATATATATCCCACTATATGTGTGTGTGTATATGTATGTGTGTGTGTATATATATACACATATATATGTGTGTGTGTGTGTATATATCCCTCCCCAAAATAAACATATGTGTTGTTTCTGAAATTACTATGGGGCTGAAGGAATTTTGGCATTACTGTGAAATTGTTAGAGTACTTTCAGGGCTCAGAAAGAAAGCAATACCACACAGACTGGCACTTTGACCTGCTGAGAGAGGCCTTAGAAGCTGCCTCAGAATCAAAGTTCCTAACCTTGTCTTGTTCCTCCCCCAAGCCTTATATCACTAAGAAAGCTTCTTTCCAAAAGAAATGCAGCTGCCCTAAGACCCTCTTTCTCAAGATCTCATGAAACAAACACGAATGGTGAACCACAAGAGAAAAGACTGGAGTCATCACCATGCCCAGACAGACGTTTCATCTATTCTTCTGAAGGCAGCTTTAAGAGACTAGCCAAGAAATTTTATCTACATAAGGAGAAAATCATTGTTCCTGTGAACCACCTTCTGAGTATTGGGCCTATTTATTCTTCTATTTCACCATCCCCTATATGTATATATACATATACACACACATAATACTAAGTGAATATTTGTTAAACAAAGGCACATAAAGATTTATGTATAAACATTTTCATCACATTATTTATTATATATATGTGTGTGTATATATATATGTATTCTTTTTTTTTTTTTTTTTTTTTTTGAGACGAAGTCTCGCTTTGTCATCCAGGCTGGAGTAGAGTGGCACGATCTCAGCTCACTGCAGCCTCCGCCTCCTGGGTTCAAGGAATTCTTCTGCCTCAGCTTCCCGAGTAGCTGGGACTACAGGCACTTACCACCACACCCGGGTAACTTTTGTATTTTTAGTAGAGGAGGGTTTCACCATAGTGGTCAGGCTGGTCTCAAACTCCTGACCTTGTGATCCACCCACCTTGGCCTCCCAAAGTGCTGGGATTACAGGCGTGAGACACCGCACCCAGCCATTATGTATATATTTTAAGTGCTTAACAATCTTAACTCATTTCAGACTTAGACCACCTTGTTGTTATTTGTATCAATTCCCAGAGGCTGAATTATTGAATTAAGAATGTGAAAATTTTTAACTTTTTATAGCTATTATCCAATTTCTTTCCAGAACATTTGAATCAAATTACCAAATTTTGACTCGGTCTCACCAAAAGCATTTGGAGATGTCACTTTGTCTTGCCAATTACTGCATTTTTTTTTTCAAATGGTAGCCCTCTAATGGAACACTCCCCATTGTTTTAAATTCATTTCCTAAATTATTGGTTGTTAAAGACATTTCTTTGCATACATTTAATAGTCACTAGAGTTATTTTTAGAAATTTCCCATAATTCTATTCATACTAGTTTTAAGGGATTCTGAGCTATCGAATATGTTACCTCTCTTTTGAAAATAAAACAAATCATTTGCTCAGTGGGAACAATTTTATCACACCAGCTACATATTGCTAAATTGCTTTACATAATAACGCTGCAGATTTATATGCAACAGTGTGTGAAAAATGAAAAAAGCAATCCTAGGTTCTGCCCAAGATCATTATAATGTCTGGAAAAGTGAACACCTCTCAATTGTTCTTTCAGCTCCCTAGTCTTGCTCTCACTACCCTATCTCCTTTAAAAAGAGAGAACTGTTAGAAAGAACATTTTAAACATGCTTAACATTTCTCATGGTTCTCGGTGCTGAAAACTTATAACCTAAAGTTTTAGCAAAGGCTCAAAAGCCGTTCCTAACTTTTCCCTTGCTTTTCTAGTCTCATCTTTTATCACCTTCCCCTGCTACTCCAGCCTTGCTTCTTCCCTGCTCCATATGAACACTTGGGTGCACTGAAACCCTTGAACTTGCCATTCTTCCAGGCTGCTCTTAACTGCTGAGCTTTCACTCACCTGTTCCATCTGCCCCTGTGACAGCATATGCTCAGGCCTGCAGAGTGAACATCTCATCTTTTGGAACTTTACATCCCTATGAACTTTTGCTCCTGTCTCCTTCCCTTCACTCAGATAAATGATGACTATTCCTTTCGCACTTCCACCGGGCTCCATATTGACATTTTTTTGTAGAAATTTATAACATTTATTTCGTCTACATAAGTCTTTTAAGTATACAAAAGATGGACAATTCCTTTATGCTTCACAGTACCTATGAGCAATGCCACATGGACAAATAACTGATGCTTTCTATCTCAAATTATCTGGATAGGTTCACTACTTATTCGCTTTGTCATCCCGTGTAAAATCTCTAACTCCTGAAGTGTCCTAATCTACTGAAAGAATACACGTGTAAAAACCAGCAATGATTTCACAGTATTGTTTTGGACTTCACACAGAATACTATTTGTGGTGGCATTTTAGAGTTATTCAATAAATTCTTAATTCAACTTGCACTGTATAGAGGAGTCTGAATGTTTGGGGTGTTTTGTGTTCTGCTTTTCTGAATAAAAATCTGTGCATTTTCATGGTATGCAATCTTTTTAATTTTAGCTCTAATGGGTATGCTATTAGGCAATAAACATTTAGGATTGTTATGTTATGATCGAGCCTTTTATCATTATGAGATAACTCCCTCACCCTGATCCCCAATAATATTCTTGGTTCTGAAATTTATTTTATCTGATATTTTTATAGCCACTCCAGCTATCTTTTGATTAGTTTAAATGTGGTTTATATTTTTCTAGCCGTTTACTTTTAATCGTTCATGCCTATATGCTCAAAGTAAGTGTCTTATAGGCAGCATATAGTTGGGCCTTGCATTTTTAATCCAATCTGACAATCTGTCTTCTAATTGGGGTGTTTAGATCATTTACATTTAATATGATTATCATTTAGTGTGGTTTACATTTATCACCCTGCTATTGCTTTCTGTTTGTCCCGCATTGTCTGTGTTTTCCATATTCTCCTCTTTTAAAAAAAATTCATTTGGATTAACCACATTTTTTTGTGATTTCATTTTATATCCTTTGTTGGCTTATAAGCTATTGTTTGCTGTTTTATTGTTTTAGTGGTTGCTTTAGAGTTTATAGTACACACATCTTTAACTTACCACAGCGTTTCTTCAAGTGATATTTTAACATCTCATGTACTGTACAAGAGCCTTATACATTCTTAATTCTCATAAATTTATACATTTTTTTCTCCTGTTTCTCGCCTCTGGATATTCGTGCTATTGTCATGTGCTTTACATTTTACATAAATTATAAACTCCACACTACATTAATAAGTAGCTGCAAGTCCGCCCAGACTCAGTTCTTTCCCTTCAGGGAGTCCACTGGGCTCCACTTGGGTTTCGCCACCCTACACTGTGGCCTGCAAAATCTCTTAAGGTAGAAGTTTGGGTAATTGCAAGACTCACTCTATTCGTTTTTCATCTTTTAGGAATTATTGTCTCTTGAATTACTTGATACCCAGGATCTTAAAAATTGTTATTTCATATATTTTGTGTGTTCTAAAATTTCTTTCAAGTGGGAGAGTAAATCTGATCCATGCTACTTTATTCTGGCTGAGGTGAAAGCTGTGATGCAGATATATTTTAATGCACAGAAACTAGTCCATTAGACACGACTTTCCTTTGGAATATTATTTTTCATCCATGTTTATAAAGATACTTTTAGTATTTTTAATCCACCAAAGAAAAAAATGCATGGCAATAAACTACTTGCAGTACTGTGTATATCTATTCCTAACAAAATAAACTTAGTAATATTAGTAAACTTGCCTTAAAAAAAAAAAAAATCTGTGCATTTTGCCCGCTCCCCTATGTTTTGTCTGTTTTTACTGAATGTGAAAGAAATATATTTTCTCTTTCCCTTATTCAAACTGAAAGGTCTTTATTTATCTAAAGAGTTAGTATTAAACATTAGTATAAAATAACTGTTCCTCATCTAAATTTCAGGTATTATCAAATGGGGCCAAAAAACATGAGTTAATTAATCCTGATGTTATGTAAAAGAACAACCCATTATATTTTAAAATTCGGACAATTAAGTAACACAATCTTCTTAACCCTACCTTGGTCACAGAGGTTACGGGACTCACTTCAGGTTTCTTCCACACTGACTTGCTCCCTGGGGGATTCATACTCATGATCACCTGTACCTTCCACAAAATATGAATGAAAACATCTTCCTGTGTTTTGCCATTTTGTGAATGGAAATGATAATATCTTAACTGGTAAGATGTACCTCTCGTCAAGAGTCCTTCCTAGGGAGCCTGTACATCCTGGCACATGGTTCCATCAGTTCCACTTAAATCTTCAGGCACTGATTATGTCAGTTAGCTCTAGTGATGGTCAGTCATCTAGGAGAAGAGTAGAGATATTTTCACTTGCAGGTTTGTGTGTGTGTGTATGTGTGCATCCAACAAAAATCCTCTTTAGCTATTACTTATCAAAATACTAACAGTATTATCTTGGAGGTTCAGTGCAAGTTATCACTGGGGAAACATTCTATTTAGATGATTCACAGCACTAACGGTATTGAGTAGGAATAAGATGCTAATTGAATTTACCAAATCATCTTTACATTATACCAAACAAGAGCACGAGCCCAGGTTACATTAAAAGACTAAACCTGCTTACAAAATATGTTATTTATCAACCTCCTCATCAAAATTCTTCCTTCTTGGCATTACTGGGGCTTAGTAAATTTTCTCATCTTTACCTACTAATAAAATGCCATCAGCATGACAACTGATGCTCTTCCATACACTATACTGACCTTGAATACACATCAGCGACTCTAGACTTCTCCTCCGTCCAGACATGAAAGCAAAAACCTCGCAGACTGGCACTCTCAGCAGCACGTTCCTTCCTGGAGCACAGAATCACCGTTAACTATTTTGGTTTTTTTGTATTTTTATTATTATACTTTAAGTTCTAAGGTACATGTGCATAATGTACAGGTTTGTTACATATGTATACTTGTGCCATGTTGGTGTGCTACACCCATCAACTCATCAGCACCCATCAACTCATCATTTACATCAGGTATAACTCCCAATGCAATCCCTCCCCCCTCCCCCCTCCCCATAATAGGCCCCGGTGTGTGATGTTCCCCTTCCCGAGTCCAAGTGATCTCATTGTTCAGTTTCTACCTATGAGTGAGAATGTGCGGTGTTTGGTTTTCTGTTCTTGAGATAGTTTGCTCAGAATGATGGTTTCCAGCTGCATCCACGTCCCTACAAAGGGCACAAACTCATCCTTTTTTATGGCTGCATAGTATTCCATGGTGTATATGTGCCACATTTTCTTAATCCAGTCTGTCACTGATGGACTTTTGGGTTGATTCCAAGTCTTTGCTATTGTGAATAGTGCCGCAATGAACATACATGTGCGTGTGTCTTTATAGCAGCATGATTTATAATCCTTTGGGTATACACCCAGTAATGGGATGGCTGGGTCATATGGTACTTCTAGATCCTTGAGGAATCGCCATACTGTTTTCCATAATGGTTGAACTAGTTTACAATCCCACCAACAGTGTAAAAATGTTCCTATTTCTCCACATCCTCTCCAGCACCTGTTGTTTCCTGACTTTTTAATGATCGCCATTCTAACTGGTGTGAGATGGTATCTCATTGTGGTTTTGATTTGCATTTCTCTGATGGCCGGTGATGATGAGCATTTTTTCATGTGTCTATTAGCTGTATACATGTCTTCTTTTGAGAAATGTCTGTTCATATCCTTTGCCCACTTTTTGATGGGGTTGTTTTTTTCTTGTACATTTGTTTGAGTTCTTTGTAGGTTCTGGATATTAGCCCTCTGTCAGATGAGTAGATTGCAAAAATTTTCTCCCATTCTGTAGGTTGCATGTTCACTCTGATGGTAATTTCTTTTGCTATGCAGAAGCTCTTTAGTTTAATTAGATCCCATTTGTCAATTTTGGCTTTTGTTGCCGTTGCTTTTGGTGTTTTAGACATGACATGAAGTCCTTGCCCATGCCTATGTCCTGAATGGTATTACCTAGGTTTTCTTCTAGGGTTTTTATGGTATTAGGTCTAACATTTAAGTCTCTAATCCATCTTGAATTAATTTTCGTATAAGGAGTAAGGAAAGGATCCAGTTTCAGCTTTGTACTTACGGCTAGCCAATTTTCCCAGCACCATTTATTAAATAGGGCACCGTTAACTATTCTTAAGATGAATAAATAGTTTCTTCTTTCAGTTATACAGTCATCTCCAGGTTCCAGAGCAAATGGAGGGAAGCCGGAGAAAGACCAATTCAATGAATATCCTAGAGCTTTTAAAACATGCTCTGTCAATGGTTTTCAGAAGCAGAAGTCCAATAATTAGTACAGGGACCTGGAAGAATAGTACTAAGGGAATCAGGAGGTAGTAAGGAAAATTTCCTCTTCTCATTATGTATGCTTGTTTTTTTATTGAATCTTAAACTGCACAAGAGGAAAAGGACACTAATGATATTTTGTTTGAACCACTTTTCTCCCCTCTTCTCTCTACTCTGATTCATTATCTGGATAATTCTCCCCACCTTTTAAGTCGCCTCTCAGAGAGGCCTTCAATGACTTCCAGGTTATGTTTAGGTTTTCTGAATCATGTCCCCACATTTGCAGTAGTAACTTACATTGTAAGAACTCTGCAGACAGTCTCCTCATCTTGGTTCTGTTTCATCCCATCACACAGGGCGAACAGTCACGGTGTGCTCACTGGTGTCCCTGGGTCTGACACACCACTAAGCACACACCACTAAGCAGGCAATAAACATTCATTTAATAAATTAACAAGTAAATATGTGTACATGTGTATGTCTTATTCTCTAAACCACAACATGAGCCCTGTGAAGATGGAGGTAGCATCTTCTACTTAGCATAACGTTTAACAGACCAAAGCTTCATATATAATGTGCTTCTTCCTCTGAGTTTTCAAACTTGTAATTTTCCACCAGCCTATTGATACATAGGGATGATTTAAGTACTTATGAGTAGGGGTGGGTCCACACAGTCAAGGTGTCGTATTTCCCACTGTGGTTTCTCCTTTTTACAATACATGTGGAATCTGTAAGTCTTCTTAGACTATCATAGGCTATATATTTTAAATCCAATGAATGAATCTGATTATAGTGCTAAAATGAAAAGCATTTCCAAATTGTAAATCATTTCTCTTGCTTGTTGAAATGCCTTTCTTCTAGAGATTTGGCTTTTATAAAAATGTAATATCTTTGTCATCACATTTTGGCAATGCATTCTGAAAGTCAAGGTTTTTCAGCCTTGCCACTTTTGACCTCTAAGGCCAGACAACTTTTTTTCTGTGAGGTCTGTCCTGTGCATTATAAGATGTTTAGCAATGTCTCTGGCCTCCACCTACTAGAATCCAGGAGCACCTGCCCCCAAATTGCTATGAGCATTGTCAAATGTAACCTGGAGAGCAAAATCACCTCTGTTTATGAAACAGTACTTAGTTTGTATCATACATGGTTGCTTTCCATATTTAAGATTGACTTCCAAAAAACCTAATTCTTTTTTTTTTTAATCAGCCAGTCTTTGACAGACTAAATAACCTAATTCTAAAATTGATATTTAAGGAACATTTTGTTTTCTGGATAGAATCTGCCTTTCTTTCTCACAACTAAATACATGGGTTTAACAATGATTTCATGAATTTAACATTGAAACATTCTCTGAGATCCAACCCTGGTCTTTGTTACATTATATCATTTTGAATACTTTCCCAATTCTCAAGACTATATATTTTAGATGCAAAGTTCCCATTCTTGTTGTGAATACACTGCGCCTCAGGTGATTTTTCATTGCTTTCCAGGAAAGCTGTAAAACTTACCGAAGTTATTTTTGAGCCAAATAACACTTAAAGGCATCCTTCACATGTTTAAGTCACTCACATTTGTCACTGATTTCAGAGTTCCTTTTATGTTAGGTCCAATCTGTTAGAATTTAGATGAACAAGGACAAAGTTGCATGGGCAAAGGTGAGGAGAAGGAAAAAGAACTGTCATTTAAATTGCTTTCTTTACCTACTTCTTGAGAAATTCTCCTTTTCTTTTTTTTTTTTTTTTGGAGTACAGTGTTGCTATCATACACCACTTACATTTTAGTCAGGGACTGAAATAACAGAGTGAAGAGATCCCAGAATAGAGTGTGAGCCATTTTTTGGAAATTCCTTGGAGTAATTTTCATAATACCCTAGAACACAACTTCATGGATGTTTCTGATGTCTGGGATGACAGCAACCAGATAAAGATGCTTGCCTTTCAGACTTTGCTAAATTGATTGCTTTCCCTAAAGGAAATCCCTAAGAAGATATCATCCTGGTAGTGACCATAATGAGGTGCAGCACCCAATTACCCAGCACTGTAGATTCTGAAGGGCTTGATTCTTCCTCTGCAGAGGCACTGCCAGCATCGGCTCAGCAGAATGGGAGACTTAAGCAGTGCCTAACAAGTGCAATGGTTGTTACCATTGGCCATTCAGTCCTCTAGGCAGGGTGACAGCCACAAAGCAAGCTGTATTTATCATTGCTGGAATTAGTCCAAGCCTCCAGGGCTAGCTTGCTTCTGTTCTAACATTACCAGGGGTCAGCAGCTGCAGAAGCAGAGGGTCAATTTGCTCAGCCTTGCTTTTCTATCACGATGGCAGAGATAAATGCTATGAAGTACATGAATGAACTCTGGGAACTCCCCTTCTCAAGATCTGTCCTGCAGGCTTTATGCCAATTATATTCCTTTGGCAAATAAGCAGCTCTGGAGAAAGACTCAGGTACTTTCAGGCAGTTTAGGACTGCATTTACAGATCATTTAGGTAAATCTCTCATTTTGTGGATGAGATGAAGAGCAGTTGTGTACTCTTGGCCAAGTCTGCATAACCTACTCTACGAAGGACCTGGATGGTTTAACTACCTAAGTGAAAAAAATACATATATCCCATACACTGCCTATGCTTTAGCGTGATTTTGGATGGCATGGGGCAGAGAGGGTGTCTCAGTCAACTTGGGCTGTCAAAACAAAATACCATAGAGTAGGTGGATTGAACAACAGGAATTCATATTTCATGGTTCTGGAAGTTGAAAGTCCCAAGATGAAGGGGCCAGAAGGATCAATGTCTTCTGAGGGCTCTTTTCTTAGGTAACAGACAGCTGCCTTCTTGTGTCCTCAGGCAGCTGGAGAGAGAGAAAGCAAGCTCTCTGGTGTTTCTTCTTTCTTATAAGGGCATTAATCCCTTCGTGGAGCCTCTACCCTCATGACCTTATCTAAAACAAATTACTTCTCAAAGATCCCATCTGCAAATACCATCACATTGGAGCTTAGAACTTCCACATATGAATTTGTTGGGGACATAATTCAGTCCATAGCAGGGGGAGAGGAACAGTTTTGGGGCATAGGCCTATTGGAAATGGACAGACCTGAGAAAAAGAATCTTTGGATTATTACAAAGTGGTATGAGAATGCTAGTTGGGTCACGGACTGCCAAGAGGGAGGAAACTATCCAAGGTAGCTTGACAACGTGTAGGCAAAATTCATGATCTGATTTTGAACCTGACAGAAACCACTGCTCCACTTCACCAGGAACAGCAGGTGTACATGCGGCTGATGTCTGTCTGTGCTGGCACCTGCCTATGGTCAGAGCTTTTTAATGGCACTGAAATTAGCAACTCTCTTCTTTCTCCATCTTGCTACATCTCTCCATACTGATTATTTTTAATTAATATGGATATTAGTTTCATCTTAATACGATAATATCTCTAACTTATTTTATTCACCTTTCTCTCAACCTCACATAAGACATGAAATGCTTTCTTTTCAGAGCTGTGCAGAATTCCCTGGA